TGAGTGCTGGAGGAGAGGGAAAGGGGAGGGGCCATTTTATGCCTTCATCAACACTCGCGGAGGCCCTCTTCTGGGACACAGGCAGCTCACTCACGTTCATGCAGGCAAACACACACACACAAAAGAAAATAATACATCTTTAAGTTTTTCTTCAAAATCTAAAACCAAACACACCTCTTTCGAATGAGGATGTAATATACAAGATGCTGCTCTTGAAATGTGTAGGTGTCATATGGGATGCATGGGCACAGCACTCTGTGGGACATATGGGCACACACACTATGCGGGACACCTGGACATAAGTACTATGTGGGGTACATGGGCACATGCATTTGGACATCATCTTAGTTATCCAGAGCACACAGGGCTACCAAATTCTATTCAAACCTTATCAAGAAAAAAAAATCTCAATTCCCTTGCTACGTTCTACAATAACAGTAAGCTGAACAACTAAAATAGCCAGAGGAGGAAACAGCATTAACTCCCTAACTTAAAGAAATCCTCAATGGCACAATTTCAAAATACTCTCTTGGTCCGAAATTTATGTAAATTGAATTCATCTATCATTAGTTATTACCAGTATGCCACCATTAAAAAAGTTTTATATAACAATTAGTTCTTAAAATCACTGTGTTTTAATTAGACCTGGGACATTATTAAACTAGCATAAATGTGTACTATATTTTATTTGTTATACCCAGATGCCTGCAAAATCAACAAAAATACCCTTAAAATACCCTTAGGTCTTTCTCTAAAATTTCTTCTAAGAAAAGCCTTTCAAAGGTTCCAAGTAATCAGAATTAACCTGAAATACCAACGTATATCAGAGTCTAATATATACTAGAATGTTTATATGGAATATTATGATACATGTTCTCTGATAGGGTACATAATTGAGAACATAAACCGATTCTAACACGTGCTCTGGTTATGGGTGACCTTTTTGTGTATACACATATGTACTATACACACATACATAAGGAATGGTCACTCGTAACATATGAATATGCATAAACACATACATTTGTACACACACACACACAGACAAGGATTATTACTCATAACCAGAGAACATCCACTTGGTATATCTTAGAGCTTACAGCACCAGCAGAGATAACTTCTTCACTTGGAGGATTTCAACAGTCACACCCAAAAACATCTAAAATCAGAGACTGGACCAAAACCCAGGTGTAAATTTTAGCTCAAAGCTGTTTCTACTAGATCAGAGAAGCATTTTCTTTGAGCTAACCCTAGCATCAACATGGTTCTATAAATAGATGATGCAACGTGTCCACATTATCTAGGGAAGGTATCTGGTTCAGTTAATATTCAATGAATATTCACACTTAGCTTGCTTTTAGTAGAGTGGCTATTACCTATGGGCACAAATTCCTTCATAAAGAAAATTCCCAGATAATAGCAACACCATCCTTATAATTTATAATTCAGACGTTTCCCTCTATAGAGGGAGTCCTCTTTGTAATCCCAACTCAAAGAACAACTTCTCATGTCGTTCCACTGTAAGTTCTTCCTTCAAATCTGTGTATACTTTTGTATATTCCTCATAGGGAGAAAGTACAAGCTGGCTCTTATCTTGTACATTCCCGTCTTTAGTGACAGAAATTGTGGTAAACTGCTACATTTCACTGATAGGGTGTGACTGAGTGGCTAATTTCTGCAAGAAGATATTCGTGGAAGGATGGTGTTGAGATTTCAGCGAGCGAGAGAGTGAGAGGAAGAGGCAGCTCCAGCAGCTGTCTTGGCTCATGAGCCAACACGTAGGTAAGGAAGACACATGCTACGGATGGGAGAGCAGGACATGCGGCCTGTCCCTAGAGACAGAGTCATCCATCGTATTTGGATGAGGCCTACAAGCATTTCACCAACCAAGGGCAGCTGTAATTATGCTAGAGAAGGAGGGAAAATAGAATGATCTGTTATTACACTGGGGCAAAGCATGCGCAGCCAGTCTTCATTCTCAACCGCTGCTGGCAATCTTCAGCTTTAGCAAAGAAAAGGAGAGAAAAGGAAGGAAGGAGATGTAAGCCACAAAAGACACTTCTGCCGCGTCATGGTCTACTGCCCGGTCTCACCTGGAGGTTAAGGCCCTTGGGAGCACGTTGCCTGTGCCAGTCGGTGGCCACCATGTGTCTACAGGAGCATCTTTTCTTTAAAGTCTTAGCTTTGACATTGCTCTCCTTTCTAAGGTGCCCCAGACGCAGGGCACTGCAACAACCTCGTATTTCTTTGTACTCTTCAAAGCAACTTGAAAATTACCTATGTGCAACCAGACTTCCATAAACACTTTTGATCCATTAGATGCATTAAGGTTTAAAAAGAAAAAAGTGAAGAAAAGGAGGGACAGAAGACTAAGGAGTAAAACACACAACGTAGAAGTGAAGGAGCGGCAGGAAAGCAGCGGAGAAGCTCCTGGCGGAAGCTCTCCCTTTGGGGCCTGAACATGCATCTGAGGCTGAGAGGAAACTACCAAGGAGCGACAGTGGCCAGCGTGCGGCTCAAGCTACTAGCAGTGCCCACTCGCTCCAAGGGGGGGCAGCAGGCTTCGTTTCAGCCACTTACAGCAGGACCTCATTGCATTTTCGCGGCTGCCACGGGCATTTTCATGGGTGAGCAACCCAAGTTAGGCAGCCATGCTTCAGAGTAGATGTGCATGATTTCAGACCACGCCAAAACTGACTTCCAGAAAAGGGTTATTTTTAAACAGACTTTATTACTTTGCTTCTAAGCCCAATAAAAAAAAAATGGCATCAACAAACAAACAACAACAATAACAAAACCCAAAATACAACATCTGTAAGAGTGGGACATAATTTAGAAATGTATATCACAGAATTCATATCATCTAGAAGGTCGATTTCAAAAGCTATGTATCATTTTGTGGAATCGATAGTGGATTAACAATGTGTTTGAAAGCTGAACTATCATTTAATGCACACAGTACACAAACAAGAGACATACAGAATATATTAAGCACACATGATAGGTATTTTCCCTAGACTCATAAGCCAGTTTACAATCCACTAGTTTTATTCCCAGTCATTTGTAAGTCACTATACTACAGGGCTCTAAATGAGTTCTGCACCTAAATCAGATATTCTAATTTATTTTTATGAAGTTAGCAAATTTGTAGTTATAAGTAGTATTATTAAATAATAATTAACTGTTTCTATCTCCATTCTTCTGTAACACAAATCAAATACTGTGATAATTTATTTAAAAAATAATTATCTAAATGCTAAAACAACAGCTTCATAATTATACTGGTTCTGCTTGTAAAGGCAGAACTACTTTTGAACCATTTTATTTATACTTTGTATTTCAATCTCTAAAAAAAAACTACGTTGCAACTCACATCTTCATACATTATATCCTCATATCAGCTTTTTGTTATTGTTCCACAAAGATTTCTCAGTGATAGCCAAGATCATAAGCAGCTTCTTTGACAGGGAAATGTAGAAAATAAATGACGTGTCAACCATAAATTAGCATTCCCTTTCTGACCAGCTGGGCCATGTTTCCTTTTCAAAATCCTCTGTCCCATGACACTAAATAATAATCATGTAAAAGAGCTCACTAAGTGATCAATATATTGACATAACCTCTATAAAGAGACACATAGCATTTTAATTGATTCCTTGAATCCATTAACAGACTATTAAACCCGAGCCTCCAAAATATATTGTAAGAGAACATTCACTTGTTTTTACTTACTAATTTTCCTCAGGGTATAATTAAAAGATATGTGCAAAGATCCCAAAACTTCTATATTTAACCAAGAGTTAAAGAAGCTCAGCTCTTCCTACATTTTCATAAAAATTAAAACAGGCAAAGTTAAACCAAATGTACTCACCAAAAAACTTCCAAATGCTGAATTAAATATCGCAGCTGCCTAAGGAGAAAAGAAATGGGAGAAAAACTCACCAAAAGTAAACAGGACCAGGACAAAAAGATTACCATGCTCCCTTTTCCCACTGGCCAAAACCCCAGACACTGACCCTGTAAAGTTAGTCACTGCTTTCAGAGCTCGACAGTGGCCTACAGTCTACTAAGATACAGAGCTGCAGCTCAGGAATCCATCAATAATGGGTCTCAGAAGCAGGCAGGAAAAAGGCTTGCCAAAAGATGCTTCAAAACAGTCCAAAAGATCCATCCCTGATAGTAAGTCAAAGCCTGGTTGTCATTGATTTTGCTGCTAAAGTATGAAAAACCAGAGGTTGATATTTATGTAACAAAGGGTATTACTAAGATGGGACAAGAGTAAGGCAAACATTAATGGCTGCCTGCCAATGAACTGTCATCACTAGGTGAAAACTAGTGTCCCACACTTCAGCATCAAGGACAGGGTAGTTGAGACCAGGACTATTGTCATGCTAATCATTTCTGGATTAGAAACAAGCAGAAAAACGTGCAATTGTTACCCCAAATTAAAGACGAAAAAAATGATTCAGCTTACCAAAGCATCCTTGAATACATGGAGGAGTCTATACACTTCTCAATAAAGTCAGTCCCCATGTTCCATGAAGCTACATGCCATAGTCCTTATGGCTTTTCACATTAATCAAAATGGGGAAAACCTTGTACAACATCTGATTTAATGAGAAAAAGAAAGAAAGGCAGAAAGAAAAAAGAAAGAAGGATGGAAGAAGGAAGGAGGGAGGAAGAGAGAGGGAGGGGGAGAGAAAGAAAGAGAGAAGAAAAAGAAAAAAGAAAGAAAATGAGAGAGAGAGAGAGAGAGAGAGAGAGAGAGAAGAAAAAGAAAACCAAAACTAGGAAAAAGCCATAAAGGGGCAGAGAAAACCTACTCCAATGCCCAGCCAGTCCAGAGCAGTGTCGGTTAATCGTTATGGACATTCCCAGCCGCGATGTAGAAAAAGAGGGCGTCAGTTTAGGAAGTTTGACTTAAGTCCAAAGCTCAGCTAAGCTGTAGCTGAAAATGCCTTCTGCTCCAGAAGAGGATGTAATGAGAGTGAATGGGTAATGAGCGCGCTGGCTCCAGAGAGCTTGGCTCTCTTATGCCACTTCATAATTAATTCAAAGCTTTGATAATTTCATTAGATTTCTCCTTTGCTGGTCCTATCAATAAAAGATGGCACTGGACCCCAGCTCCTCGGTGGCATGAACACAGGCAACAAGCACAGACCAGGGAAACCTTTGCTTCCTGACAGGAACAGTGGCATATGGCATTCTGTGTTGTACTGGGAGAGATGAGGAAGAATAAAAAGATTCAGCTACATAAAATATTACAGATGACAACTATAAAGTACAGCACCATATTTGAGGCATCTTCCTAGAATTCCACTGGACAATTCCAGGAAAAGTTCCGTGCACAGAGAAAAGCAAAAGGGGACATGAGTGTGTTGTGGTAAGAGCAACAGGGAGCGCCAGCGTCCTTCCTGCACGCACGTACTCCCCAAGAGTCTACACGTAGACCAGATTCTGTGCTTAAGATAAGTTTAGCTTTTTCCTTCCAAATCACCTTCAGTCCTCTTTACTAACCTTATGCAGGATAGCTCGTGGATCTGCCTAGCACTTACAGAAAGGTGGAGTTACTAAAGGAGAACTCAAAAGCTAAAGTTGAGAAAGTACTACTCCTGACATGACCCAGTCTCCTGCTCGCCTCTGTGATCCAGCCACAGGTACTATTCCATGTGGATCAGCTGAGACAACAGAGCTGCCATGATGAGATGTGTTAGGCACTTCCCTGGCTGTTTTCAGATTGTGGGGATCCATCTGAATGTTGTTTTGCCATCCTCCCAGGCAGTAAACCAGCAGCTTTTGTTAAATGGTTAGTTTAGGGTTCTAGGTGCTCCTAGGACCAGATGAAGCAAGGCACTGAGCCCAGCTGGGCTCAACTGTACAGCAGCAGTACATGAGGGAATGAATTATGATTTCAAGAGTCCGGAGGCTAACGATAACAAAGCAGGCTATCATCTGTGACATGCATGTTTTCTGATGTAAGGAGGAACGTCCTGCTCCTTCACAGTCTACAAGGCCTTCCCTAAATGGAGTGCTCTCCAGTTCCTTCCCTGCTCATCATCCTACTCCCAATTTCCCCAAATTCATGATCTCATGCCACTTCCTACATCTTTGCTCTCTGACCTAAAACGATTAATTCCCCTGTCAAGAGCATGAGTAGGTCTTAAACAACTCGCTCTTACCTTAACAAGGCAGCTTAGGGACCATCCTGCCAAGTTCTCAGTGAGCTGGAACCCCATACGCACCTTAGCAGGTGTGCACGCCACTCATGGGTGGCCTGAACAAACCCATGGCTGCAGCTGGGCACTCTGAGCTTATCTCTGCCATAGGCCTGTCCACTCTATCGGACTCTGTTCACATGCCTCCCTGCCCCACTGCAGGCAAAGTTCTTCTAAGGAAGGAACGTGATGAATTCACCCTAAGCAGGAACTGAACACATTTACAGAATTATAGACATAAAGATGTTTTGGAATTCCAAAGTCCACCTCCCTTACTAAGCTGGTCGATGTTTGGCAGAATCCAGGGACGACAGACCCAGGAGACTGGATCTGTTATCTCACATCACCAAGCCAAAGCCTGTTTGGCCTTTAATTTTTTTTACTGTATTGTCTTTCTGTATTCAGACAGGACTCCGGGATGGGGGATGGTAAGCCATTTCTTGTTCATTTTCATCTCTTTGGGCCAAAACATAACTGGTTTTAAAATAAAGTTAGGAGTCTAGATCATGCTGCGCATGCTGGTAATGGCTCTTGCTGGCTGCTCCCCAGCTCCCCAGTAGCCTCTGAAGCTAGAAGGCTCCAAGATAAACAATGGCAATGCAAGCATTTAGCTTTTAAAGCAATGGCCCCCCCATCCACCCCCCCATTCACTACTATGCTCACATTGTTTTTTTTTTTTCAGTCTTTAAAGAAAATACAAGATTTGTGAAAGGAGATGAGATTTGCACTGCCACAGGTAGTTTACTCTGGGTTCTAAGGCATTTCCTTGTTTATTGTTGCAGCTTGAAGCTGGAGGCTCTCCCTCCAGATGCTAGAGCTTCGTCTCCAGCCCATGGTGCCTTGAGAAAGTGCAGAGCACAGGCAGAAAGTTCCCTCACTGGGGATATAATGCTGCAAATATTACTGGGACCTCAGCCCCTTCCTATCCCCCTTTTCTCTTTCAGGTAAAGCAGCCTCCTGTGCTACCTGTTCTGGTCACGATGCGCTGGCTACCACAGGCTCAAGGAACAGGGTCAGGCCACTGGGAGTCTCTGAAACCATGAGTCAAAAATAAATCTTGCTTATTAAGTTGTTTCTCTCAGTGACAGAGCTAGCTAACATGCTTGAGAGACCAATTCCAAACCCCATACCCCCTCTAGAACATTTCATTACAACAAGGATCTTGTCTTCTCTGTTCAGGGTTGCCCCCTTACTGCCTAGAAAAGCACTCATAATACTTTCTACAATGGCTACAAAACTTAAAAAAAAATCAAACGTGACACAAGGACTGTGACTAAATGTCCTACACAATCTCCTCACTACTAACCTAACTCCAATTCTATCTGCAAAGCGTAAAACCAAAGTAATTACACTTGATGGGCAGCCAGCTTGACGGCACCTGGGGAGGCGTGCTGCAACGGTCTATTAGCACCGAGGGGACGGGCTTCCACCCTACTGCATTGTCAGCTTTCCGGATAGCTACTAAGGTGTTTCCCTGACATCTCATTACATGTTCTATAACACGCCTTTATGAAGTTGCTTGGTAAAGTTCAACTTTCTTCAGAATCACCATGGAATCATTTAAAGTAAGTTTTCTTAAAACCTGAAAACAACCAGGACAGAAAGCTTCACAATTATCGGAGCAATCATTTCCATTACTAAATGGAATACTGTCAAATTCTACTTTGGAAAGCCTGAAACTCACAAACCCGAGGAGTGCAGAGCTCCGACCAGGTTTCGTGCTCCGACTTACAGACACATGTCTGGTCTCTTGTAATATCTGCACACTGCTGGGCCTACCAAGTCTTCTCATGGTATTATATCAAAGTTTGTCTTGGTGGTAGTCCTCTCTGCCCTTCCTTTACACATCTACTAAGCAAGAAATTAGGACCCACATTTACACAGAGGAAGAACAATTTGTTGCAAGTTAATTTGTGAAGCTCCTGGCTTTTGCTGCTGAAGATCCTGACTTCTGATTACAGCATGAAGAAACGTTTCTTCGATGTTAAAAGGATGATTATGGCCGCCCTAAATCTCTAATACTGTCCTAAGATAAACAGCATACATGGAGAAAGCCTACAAGTCAGACACCAAACACAACCTCAGCACCTGTGAAAAGATGTCAAAACTGGGCCAAGGTGCCCTTCCTCTTCACAGTTTAGATGGAGACTAGAAACTAAAGAGAAGAATAAGCAACGAGGAGTCCCAGAAGTACTGTTTTCCTTGCTCTCTTCCTTCTACAAAGAAGGCTCATCTGTTTTCCCTCCTCTTGAGCTGGGGTTAGGAAAGGCATTTACAAGCAAACCAACAATGGAAATCACAAAAGTTGCCCAGAATCAAAATGAGCATTCCCATGCTGCAGGCTGACGTCCATATTCCATGCTGGCTGCACATGAGTGAGCGGCCATGTTGGGGGAGCGCTTAGAGGCATATCGGCGTGCCACTCGGACCTGAGCAGATGGGGTGGAGGAGGTATATTAACCGGGAGACATGTTCGCTCTTTCTGTCCAGAAGCAACAAAGGTGGGGAGCTGCTTAGAACAGACCGCAAGGCAGGGGCAAGGGGAAGAGGATGGGAATTTGAACAAGGTATACGTCAGTTTTGTGGTGGTGCGAAGTTATCTGCAATGCCTCGGAACACTCACCTTCGTTCTGCACTCTCTTTGAGAACCCACACTCAAGAAGAGACTCTGGACAGAAGCACCAAAGGCTGGGGT